TCTGTTCATTGATTCATTCAGTAGAGGCTTTATCTGTTCATTGATTCCGCTGCATCAGACTACTTTCGTTGAAATCACAGTGCTGATTGGATGATATTATTTTTTCCATACTGTTATTTCATTCTAGCCCTCAGGGCTGACGACCTAGTACAGGGTCACGGCCTTTCTTCGACCATGAGATACAACTTCAGAGTATAGTGGCTATGGATAATAGGTGAGTAGGTGTAATCGAAGCAATTTTTTTGTCATTTAATACCAGTCAGGGGGCTGGCGGCTACCAGATAGATGTACCCTAAACAAAGCAAGCTTTATATAATGGTTGAATGTAAGTAATTTGTTTGTACCTTGACGTATAGTCTTCTAATAACCTATAATTAATTATCCGTTAATACTGAGTGGACTAACTGGTTATTTATTTATTTATAAATTTCTTTTGTTTACATCCAACATGAGGAAGAGAACTGTACTATGGCTTCCACGGTCCATAGATTTGCTCCAAATACCTCAAATATAAGCCAAAAAGTTGTTCACATTTGAAAGTTTTAGAATGTTTGTTAAATATATTTAAACTTTTTTTTATGCATTTAATTATTTTATTTCATGAAAATTTAATACACGTGACCTCTTATCATATTTATTCCTGTAGGTCTATGTGTGCTGTTTTTAAGTAATGTGTTGACTGCCCTGCAGTGACTACTTGCATTGCAGCGAAGCCTCTATATCTTTGATGCTGACTTTGCCTAATGCACATATTTGGCGTAAATCATTTCCAGTATGATTAGTTACCCCAAGTTTCTTATAGCAGTGAAGGGGTTATTCACCGACAAATGTTCGGTAGTGAAAATAAACAAAACTGTCACATACACTTATAATAAGCTTTTTAGCTTATATTTTTAGGTATTCGAAGGTTATTTTGAGGTAAATCTAGACTCCCTGGCTTGCAGTTTATATCTAATATTGGAGAGAACTAACTCGTGTACTGTGATCAACAGTTTATGTACAAGACGGGAGAGAGGCGATAATTCTTGTACTGTGACTTAGTTTGCTAAACCTAACTTCACAACTTTGGTCTAGAAGAAGCTAGTCCTAAGATCATAATGTTAGAATAAAAGCGTATAGTCCTGACATCATAATGTTTGAGTAGAAGTAACTAGTCCTAAGTATAGTGCTTTGAACTGTCTGTTATTCACATAGTACTTACATTTCAAAACACCACACGTATAATAAGCACAGAACCACTATATGAAGTCTAGTCTTATTGTTGCGGTATGCTCTTGTCCAGGGTTGCTGATGAGGGGCGGAATTCCCCGAAACAGGTATAAGTGGGAAGTGGTGAATCGAAATATAGTTTGGGCTTCATTATTTTTGCTTTAAGTTAGTCCTAAGAAAATCAAGTGTGGTTAGAAGTAATTAGACCTAATATTGAACTATAACATGCAAAATTGTATTCTAGTATATAAAATAAAGTATTTCGAACGATTTTATGACTAGTATTAGACAGAATGAATAGTTAACTTCAACATTAGGATTGTCGTGCGAGTGGCATTGTGGCTTACAGTAAGACCAATCCATAACGGCTTCAAAAGACTTTTCAAAGTGAGTTTTTAAACATATTTATCGAGTTTTATACTCTCCCTTGCATCGGTTATTTTGTGCTGCGTTTTTTCTTTTTTTATATCAGCAAAACTTGAAGCAATTCACATGTCTATAAACTTACATACCCGTTTTGTTTTTGGTCTTCATGACATATAAACTAGCTCATTAATAAAATACAGCACATGACCTTCGTAATAGTCTTCTCGAAAGCGAGACTTTACATGTTTTATGACGTGTGGTAAGGTAACTTCTCGCGTTTTTCACAGCGCCACGCAACTAAGATCATTCAAGTTACTGAAGATGTGTTCAGCTGGCTTCCTCTAGCGACGATAATCGACAACAAAGTCTTTGTAGTCCATGGAGGAGTAGCAGATCAAACGGATTTGACAAAGATAGCGAAAGTCGACAGACACCAGGTGACATTTAATTTTTTATTTTACCGATAGAAGTAAAGTTATTGATTGGAAAACAAAATAGTTATATTTAGTTTCGGATGTTTTAAGTTATAGATTCCATAACAAAAGAAATTGAAGCAATTTTCTAATAACTGTTTTTCTTTCTTTTTTCTCATGGAATAGTTATTATTTCACTGACACGCTTATCCATCGCTCTAGAGAAAATATGTTCATTAAAATAAACACTAGTCCATCGCTGTACAGAAAGTTTGCATATGTTGCATTAAAAATAATACAAAAGTAAATAAACACTTGTCCATAACTGTATAGAAGACTTGAATAAGTTGTAATATAAATAGTAAAAATAAAATAAAATAAACGTTTGTCATTCGCTCTAGAGAATACACGAATAAGCTAGATTGAAAAATAAAATAAAAGTTGTAATTCAATTAATTGATTCAGACAAGGGTAAGTTGTACATAATTAGACAATTTATTCAATATCATGAGTGATTCATAAATTAGTAAGTTAACAGAAACAACAAAATTCTCGACAAGAAGAGTTTATGCTTTGTCCATCAAATATTAATATTCACTGTATTAAAATTCCAGTTAATTAAAAATATTCGGGAAATTTGAAAACGAGAACAATATTTTGTTTTTCATGAAATATATTCAAAACCATGCCCGTAACTTTTTCTAAACGAGAAAGATAGATTCACGAATTAGAGAGGTATTTAGAAAAATACCTGACGAATTGAGGTGCTTCATGCAATATTTGATAAATATAAACAATTTATAGAAAAGAACAGCAAAGCAATTCTAATAATATAAATAAGGCAACTACTTATAAAGAAAAACATGGTTTGTTTGTAGTTAAGCATAAAGCTACACAATGTGCTGTGCCCACCACATCGAAACCCGGTTTTTAGCTTTATAAGCAAAGCCTTCAGACGTACCACTGACACTGGGAGGCAAAAAAAAATACGGAATATATAGTTTGAATAGAGGAGGATCAGTAAATTGTTGTTGGATTTCGATAGACAATCAAAAGACTTTCTCAGGTACATGCTTTGCCGTGTTAACTGTAGTAAAACTGTGTAATATTCTGAACCTTTTTTTATTAATCCATGTAAGAAAATATAGGTGCTCGTAATTATATAAAGCAAGTTAATCAAACATTATTAATCTTTGTTGTTATTTCATGTAAGAAATTATAGGTGCTCGTAATTATATAAACCAGGTTAAACAAAGACTTTATAGAATTATTCTTCAACATAATATGTTCAAAATGTTAAAAATTAGCATGCATTCCAGCAAATGTTTGCTTGTGATAAATACTCATAGTAATCTTCTATTGTGAATGTATTACTTGAACTTCTTATCGCTAAAAATATGTATCAGAGTATCGTCAACATAATGTTCATAATATCGTTTAGATAGAAATATGAACTTTACTATAGTGATTGGAGCTTCTCTTCAAATTGTGATTGTTTCATATTTTCAAATAATTAACGAAGAAAAGTATTTACAATAATAAAATCACACTTCATTGATATCAGGTTTTTATAATATTGAATAATATTTAAATTATAAGTTGTTTTGCACTATGACTAATTCAGAATCTATTTTGGGCTTTAGCTGATAACAATTCTTCAGCCTCCTCTAGTGGAAGGGAAGCTGACCTGTAGCAAAGATGACTGGAACCAGGTATTTGGAGCTTTACCAACCGATTTGAAATTTGCGTTTGTTCTAATACAATTCATTTTCATTGAAAACTGATATCAGTAGAATATATAACACTGTTAACTACATACTGGACCATCTGTTTTTGTAACTGGACTCGAGTGATAATACTGTGAGGTGTGTAAATGAACATGTCTGTTTGGAACTGGACTAGTGATAAATTAATGATTGCTTTTGATACTTGGCTTATCTGTTTAGAAGTGGACTGGTGAGACAGTGGTCTTAAACTCTTATAAGAGCAATGTCCATAGGAACTGGTCAGTATGTTAATACTGTGAATTAACGATACTTGCTTCACCATAAGAACTGGTCAGTGTGTATTATTAGTACTGTGAGTTTTTGATACAGGGTTTGTCCATAAAATCGAATCTCTCTGTTAGTACTGTGAGTTTTTGATACTGGGTTTGTCCATAAGAACTGGTCAGTGTGTTAGTACTGTGAGCTTTTGATACTGGATTTGAACATAAAAAACCGATCAGTGTATTAGTATTGTGAGTTTTTAATACTGTGTTTCACCATAAGGATTGGCCAGTGTGTTATCATTATTATTTTAACATTATAATTTCTTCGGAGAGGTGACGGACATTTTGTGGAGTGATCCAAGGCCTCAACCAGGATGTTGTGCTAATTCCGTTAGGGGTGGTGGAAGTTTCTTTGGACCAGATGTGACGGAGGCATTTCTTCGGCGTCACCATTTGGAGAGAATCATCCGTTCTCACGAGTGTAAACCTAACGGTTTTGAGTTTACGCACGACGACAGGGTTAGTAACCACGCTTCATTTTCTTCATTACCGTCAAAAACGTTATTCAAAACTAAATTTCCTTTTTTTTTTTTCACTCTCATTTTACAATAAAAGAAACAGAGTATATAGATTATACTTACCTAGAACTAGAAGTATCGAATTACAAGATTATAGGGGTTGGATTCAACTTACCTAAAAATACTGAAAGTATTGAACTGCAGGTTTATAGTATTTGGATCCAACTGATCTAGAAGTATTAAATTAAAAGTTTATAGTACTTGGATTCTTCTGGCTTAGAAGTATTCAACCAGGATCATACCGATCGTTTATGCCGCCCTGTGCGATATATAAATTCTGCACCCCTCCCCACAAAAGCTTGTAGCATATACACTTTTCTTCCAAATCCCCCCCCCCTTTACGGGTTGGCTCTTCACCTCTCGTACTATCCTTGGTACAGCTTTTTAATGAACTACAAGTTTATATTGTTTGGTTTCAACTTATCTAGAATTCCGCAGTATCCTCGGTACGGCCTTTTATTGAACTACAAGTTTATATTGTTTGGTTTCAACTTATCTAGAATTCAGATATTCTAAGCACGTAGTTCAATATTTCTGTTTATGTAGACTTGATATTTTAACGAATGAGGGAAGAGAGAACAGGAAGTGTTCTGCACACATGGTATAAAGCATTATAGTGTTAGTAATAAAGTAATTAATTGTCTTATTAATAATTAGTATTGTACAAATAATATGTTGATAGTTATAAAAATATTTTTAAGTATTAAATAAATGTTTTTTTCTTCCAAAATGACTTTTCTTGTCAGGTTCTCACGGTTTTTTCAGCTTCCAATTACTACGCTATGGGGACAAACAGGGCAGCATACGTCAAACTTCTTGGACCAAAGCTGGTTAATCAAATCGTCATGTACGTTAGTTCTAGGACGACCCCGAACTGGGCAATCCTGCAAAGGTAAGAGTTCTAGTTCAAAGAGATAATAACTAAACCTATGGGAAAGTGAATTTTAATCAGCATATAGTTTCTTCAACTTTTTATTGGAAGATATAACATTTTAGAAACGCTCATAGGATCATGTAGATCATTGCAACGAGAATCGTCGTTATAACCATGCCTTTTGTCATCCCAGGTTTGTAGTGTTAAGTATGCCTTATCGCAACCCAATTTTGTAGTGTTAAGTATGCCTTATAGCAACCCAATTTTGTAGTGTTAAGTATGTCTTTTATCAAACCAGTTTCACAGTGTTATGTATATCTTTTATCAACCAAGTTTGTAGTGTTAAGTATGTCTTTTATCAACCCAGTTTCATAGTGTTATGTATAACTTTTATCAAACCAAGTTTGTGGTGTTAAGCATGCCTTTTATCAACTCAGATTCATAGTGTTAGATATGCCTTTTAGCAATCCAGGTTCGCAGTGTTAAGTTTGCCTTTTCGTACCTTACATAGGTTATGATATTTTCTATCGAGGCAGGGTGATAATGATAAGAATACTTTCTAATAGCTGGGTGTATCGTGACACACCAAAAGTATCCAGAAACTTTTTTTGAACGACATCCAATATGCTTTAGTTTTAGTATAAGTACTGGTAGGGAGAAGCTGTATGCCAAAAGTCCTGAAAATTCCCGGACTTTGAAAATTACTTGTTATATTGAGCGATGTAGTATACTCCAAATCATCAATGAATTAAGGCAAACTGAATGCTGTAGAAGAATAATAAACGTTATATTGATAGGAATTGTAAAAAACAAAACAAAAGTGACGTAACAAACTACCTGTCTTGTGAAATGACATAACGTGACGGATGGCTCTATAGTTAATTAGGTTACACATTAACAAAGATATCAGGTGTAACTAAATGTTAATAAGTTTTAATAATGAGATTGATCTTACAATAATAGGTGATTTCAAAAACACACATTTGTTTCATCTTTATACAAGTAAAAGTAACCGTCTCCAGTGACAGGAAAAGTTTAAGTTAATCTATTTCATGGACTTTAAAAAGGTTAATTGTGTTGCGCTCTTGGTTTCATTCAGAGCCAAAGCTGTAAGCTACTTATACTACCCACCGAGAAAAGTAATTGTTGAGTATTTCAGTCATGCTAAGAACCGCTCAACAATAACATATGGTAAATCTACATTTTTATTCTTTAAGTTACGTCACATTTTGAAATGTGAATGATAGTGTGATTAATTCCTAACAATTTGTTATAGAATATCCTGCTTGCGAAATAAAATTTGGCATCAACATTATTCATGCCTGTTCTCTCGTTATTTCAAAAGCGAATGTTGAGCTTTGCTTGCGTGCATAGCTTTTCAAACGCAGCGCTGGAAGCGGCCGCCGTAAACAGGAGACAGACGAACGCTCGGACAGACACCACGATTCACAATATATAAAAGATTCCTTGGTAATTTAGTTTATAGGCATTACTACATCATTATGATCTGGATGTGGTCTATCGGTTAGCGTGCCCAGGCTGTGAAATCAAACATTTGTGGTTCGCGTCCTGCTATTGTTAAAACGCGCTTCGCATCTTAGGGCCGTGAGTGTGCTACATAAATATCAAATTCACCAATTCGGTAAGCCAAGCTTTGTCATTGGGTGTTATTAATTACCTGCCTTCACTGTATAGAGTATCAACTAATTAGGGTCTATTGCAGATAGCCCTGGGGGCACTCTGTGTAAAAATTTTAAAACAAAATGTGTTTGTTTTTGAATTACGCGCAAAGCTACACGAGGGCTATCTGCGCTAACCGTCCCTAATTTAGCAGTGTAAGACTAGAGGGAAGGCAACTAGTCATCATTACCCACCGCCAATTCTTGGGCTACTCTTTTTACCAACGAATAGTAGGGTTGACCGTCACATTATAACGCCCCCACGGCTGAAAGGGCGAGCATGTTTGGTGGGACGGGGATTCGAACCTGCAGATTGCGAGTTGAGCGCCCTAACCGCCTGGCCATGCGGGGCCAAACAAAATGTGTTTATGAAGGTTTACACTGCATGATGTTGTGTCTGTCAGTTATCAAAAAGTTAGCTTTTTAAGCTTTATACAAAGTCCACTTTTAAAACGCTGTAACAGTAAGAGCTCCACATGCGTGCAATGAAACTTTAACGGAACAAAAAATTAACTGTTATACGAACGTCAAGCTTTAACAATCACCTAATCACAAAACTGGTACCTGTAGTGTACTTTATTTGATGTACTGATTACGTAGAAACCCTTCTCAGAATTAGATACTCTTGTCATAAGTTCTGATAACTTTATATTTCAAGCAGTTAGTATGATAATGCTGCATAAAAAGCACTGTATCTCACATTGCCCCCCTCCCCCCGGTGGGTCAGCGGTAAGTTTATGGAATTTTAACTCTGAAAATCTAGGGTTCGATTCTTCGCTATAGCCAGAGTGAAGAGAGTTCATTGTGTAGTTTTGTACTACAGACAAACACTCACTGTTTACCTAATGCAACACATCTTTTTAGAAATATAAACTCTTGTTTAATATTGTTTGCTTATATTTCGAACAGTAGATCATTGCGTCTTTCTAAAAGAAAGAAACTGTACCGTGTATTTAAATATTTCAGCCAGGTTTAGAGCGGTATGTGCTTGTTTGTCTTGTAGCCAGGTTTAGACCGGTGTGTGCTTGTTTGTCTTGTAGCCAGATTTAGAGTGGTGTGTGTTTGTTTGTCTTGTAGCCAGGTTTAGAGTGGTGTGTGTGCTTGTTTGTCTTGTAGCCAGGTTTAGAGTGGTGTGTGCTTGTTTGTCTTGTAGCCAGGTTTAGAGTGGTGTGTGTTTGTTTATGTTATAGCCAGGTTTAGAGTGGTGTGTGTTTTTCTTTCTTGTAGCCAGGTTTAGAGTGGTGTGTGTGTTTTTTCTTGTAGCCAGGTTTAGAGTGGTGTGTGTTTGTTTGTCTTGTAGCCAGGTTTAGGGTGATGTGTGTTTGTTTGTTTGTCTTGTAGCCAGGTTTAGGGTGGTGTGTGTTTGTTTAACTTATTACCAGGTTTAGGGTGATGTTTATTTGTCTTGTAGCCATGTTTGAGTAGGATGTGAATGTATTTTTTTGTCAGATTTAATATGGTATTGTCCCATTTTCAGAAAATATACAATTTTATATTACTTTACTGAACCAAGCTTTTAGTGGTTTGCGAGTAATTATAACTACATATTGGATCCTCTGTAGTGTAATGTTTACTGTGTTTTGCACCTTGTAGTCAGACATATGATATATTGCATACAGTTCATTGTTTTCCCTGTATCGTACTTTCTGCACCTTGTAGTCAGAAAGATGTTATGATACATCTCG